GATGCTTGCACTGGTAGGGGAAAATCAGTAGTGTGTAAAACTGCTGATATTTTAGTGTGAATCAGAGCAGTAGCACCAAACTGTAGTAGTAGCCACTATATACTTCCTGGTCCTCAATCATGGGGGAGTCGCAAGGGAATGTCAGTTTCACTTAAAACTCTAAAAATTATTAAATTTATTAAGACATGATTCTTGAGCACATGCTTTTTTCGTATTCTGTGTGATGAAATGGGAAGTATACCTAAGTACTTCTGCTGCATACTCAAATATTATGGTTGCCTGCAGGGATAGGATTTGTGATTGAGTTGCTATGGAATATTATATTTACTTGAAATAACAACTGTGAGATAAACTATGGTTTCAGTTTCAGGGCATTTGGGTATTTGGCAGATAGTTTTTTCAAAAAAAGAATGAAGTAAGTCTGTCACTTCAAGGAAAAGAACTGATAGTCACTTCAAGGAAAAGAACTGATAGTATTTGTTGATGATGATAAATTCAAGTTTGCAAGTGAATTTAGAGTTTTGGAAAATTTATGTTTATGAGCTCGATGTTTTCCTAATACTTAAAGACTTTTCTAATGAGTTGGATACTAATATTAACTAATGTGACGTGGGTTTTCTTTGATATTAAATAACAAAATGTGTTACTATTTTGAAGATATGTTTAACTCCCAGTGAATTATTGCTAAAAAAATTGACAGCATCAAGCATAGATAATAGATCCCTTCAAATTGCAAGATAGATCAATTGGTTTTAATGCAACAGAGTATGGAAAGTTCACCGATGTGGTTGGCTTCAGTTTAAAATCATGACTAACCTTTAAGAAACTACCACTTACTGAGTTTTGGTGTTGTATTAAAGAAGAATATCCACAACTATCTGAAAATGTTATAGCAATGAATATATCTGTGTGACTTTTGAGAGTGATCTACTGTGCATGCCTGACTGATGAAAAGTGTGGGGAGGGCAAATATGAGTTGGAGGAGATAAATTAGTACATCAAAATGATAAAATAAACTGGTGCATTCTGGGAATAAAATTCATCGTGGAGTTTGCCTTACCATTTGAGCAAGCAGTGGCCCAGATGGACAGACATGGAGGAAAGGAATTGCTGTCCTCTCCCTCTTATATCTTCATGAGTTTTCTTACTTCTTTTACTTTCTTGGTAGCACATTTGTGACATTTTTAGCTTTCTTAAACTTTAATTAATGTATGGCATTTTATTATCCTGTCTTACACGGTAGGAAAAAAACAATATGGAGGAAATTGAAGAGAAGATGGAGAGTTCTGTTCTCTGTGTAGGAAAAAAAAAGCCCCTGCCTAGAGTGACATCTAGGAATGTGTTGCGTAATCATTGTTAGGGGAATGCTGGCAAACTGAGTTCATGCTAACGCACCTGCAAGCTGGAAGGTACAAGGAGGGGCACCTGGGAGTCTCACCTCCAAATACAACTTAGTCTGTCTTAGCTCACAGGTCTCTGCATCTCCCTAGCATTCAGAGATTATTATGCCCCGTTTATGCAGCCCAAATTTGATTTTCATAGTTGGAGGGAGGGTCCTCTGGTGGGATATCAGGAATACCAAGTGGCAGACAGAGCCAGAGGGTATTGTGCATAGAGGGAGTGGACATAGGGTTTGAAAGTCAAGAAGAAGTAACTGAACCCATTTTCTCTATTGAGACTTACTTGTTTCCTCACAGTCTGTTTCTTTAGTCTCTGGAAGAATAAACTTAAAGGAATGTTCATCACATGTGGTCTCTGGACCAAGTGCATCAGAATCATTTGGGGAACTTACCCAAAATGCAGATTTCTGGGTCCTTAACCAGTCTGCTGAATCAGACCTTCTGGGGACAGAGGAATCTGCATTTAGAAGAAACTCTCCAAGTCTTGTACACAATAAAAAGCTTAAGAACCACTGACATTACAAGCTTTTTCCTGTACTTATTTTCAGTGTATTTTTATCAAAGTGAAATGATCTAATTCTGATGAAATTCTGGACCAAAGGGAATGAATGAAAGCAGAGATAAAACAGCATATGAAGGGCACCTGGGTGGCTCAGTCAGTTAAGCGACTGCCTTCGGCTCAGGTCATGGTCCCAGGGTCCTGGGATCGAGCCCCACATCGGGCTCCGTGCTCAGTGGGGAGCCTGCTTCTCCATCTCCCGCTCCCCTGCTTGTTCTCTCTCTCTGTGTCAAATAAATAAATAAAATCTTAAAAAAAGAACAGTGTATGAAATCCCTCATGCATTTTTGTATTTAGGGTATTAATGCTTCTTTGACTGGTCGGAGAAAAATGATCCAATTACAAAGTCTGAAGGGACTTTGTAGATGCTGGTTGTTAGAAGAGGATTCTGAAAACACATTATTTTTCTTTATCTTAAGGAAGGAAGACTTACATGTTTTGTCAAAAATGTCAGTTTCTGTGACTTTTGTGCTCTAGGCAAACTATCTGAAATCTGCCTGAACTGTGTATAAAATGAAGCTCTTAGGAAGATAAATGCTTGATCAGAAATGCTAACAAGTTCCAGGTTTTCTTTCATATACAGTTAAACAAAAAGTTCCATGTTGTCACGAAGGATAGGAAGATAAAGAGTCAGATGAAGATACAGTTTACTTTCTTAGTTTGTATGTTCCCTTCTAACTCATATTTTGATTCATTTGTACTGCCTCCTAACCTTAATTTATGAGCTTCAGAGTGTGACTGAGTTCAGTTCATGAAGAAAAGGTTTATAAATGTAGAGGTGAACTTTGAGCTTTGCTTGCACAAGAGGTTACCTGTTTACTATGTGGTCAACACGAAATGTAAACTAGGCGACTACACCATGTTATTTTAAGACTAAATGGAAAGAACTAATGGAGCATTTTTAGTATGAGTATATGGAAAATAGTCAATAAAACCAAATCTAAAATTAAAAATTAGACTGATACTAATTAAAATGGGCAAAGTCAGAAAATTCAAAATCTCTTTTCATTGGCAATTATACCTCCTTTAGATAATAGTTCAAAAATCATGTCACATGTCTCCAATAAAAAAATTAGGTGACATCCAGTACTTTCTTAGTCAACTTATTTAATTCAGCTGAGTTATTTCATTCTGTTGAGGCTATTAGTACTGATGTGGCTTTGTAGTTATAGACTGAAACATGAACTGATTGAATCGGGAATAGAGATGGGGCGGAAGCTAATGCTAGGAATGAGATCCTATGGCTCATTTGTTTTCTTTTAAATAGTTTTGTTTTTCCTTTTACCAAAGTTATAGTATGCTCGCAGCCAAAAATTCTGAGCATAAGAAAGTGTACTAAGGTCACATTGCTGCATTTTGATATATGCTATATATTTTCTCGTAGTATGAATGCACACTCTGCCATTACACAAGTATATTTATGTATACATACTTGTATGTAATATGTATATGTGTGTACATATATGTGTGTACCTATCAAGAAAGCTGCTTAGTAAATTTGTTCACCAAACAATATTTTATAGACATCTGTTTATATATATTTCTATAAAATTTTTATTACATTCCATTTATGATTATAGTTCTGCATAGTATGTTGTAATTTGCATGTACCATAATAAAATTGATTCCCTTATTAATGGGCATTTAGGTTGTTTCCACTGTTTCCACTTTTGTAATCAATATACTGTAACCCCTTGCCTGAAAGTTTTCTTAGGATAAATTCCTGGAAGAAGAATTTCTGGGTTAAAGGGTATGCCCATTTAAAAATTTGAGATATACTGTCAAGTTGTTCCCAGAAATGTTGTGCCATTTTATACCTCCCTCTTTTTTTTAGAGAGGGGGGAGGGGCAGAGGCAGAGGGAGAGAGGGAATCTTAAGCAGGCTTCACATTCAGCATGGAGCTCCATCTCACAACCCAGAGATCATGACCTGAGCTGAAAGTAAGAGTTGGACACCTAACCGACTGACTCACCCAGGTGCCCCTGTGCCATTTTATACTCTTACTAGCAATGTTCTTGAAGGTGATAACTTTGGAACATTATGAACAATACTGGGTTTTCTTAATCTCCTAAATCTTTGTAAATGTAGCATGTCAAAAATGGGATTTTTACTTTAATCTTCATTTGTTTGATGTAGTATCCAGAGATTCCCAGGAGACTCTGTGTGCCCTGGGGATTGGTGGGCTGTGTAGTCATACCGAAACTTGGTTGGTAGTGCCTGACGTTCTTAAGACAGACAAGGGAAACAATGATTTCACCTGGTCCCTAGGTGGTTAATGAACAATGTCTTGAAGACACAAGCCAGATTTGCTGGATGGGAAGTCACTTCTCCTTTTCCTTCCAAACTTTCTCTTTTAAGACCCAATATAAATAGCTCTTTCTACTCTTCTTTTCCTTTGCAAAAATAATAGCTTATTTGGTCATGGGTCCAAGGTTAATGACTTATTAAGAAGAATCCAGATCTTTGAAATACTAAGGAACTTACTTGCCTACCATAGGGCTATGGGGAGCCCTGACCTGATCCCAGAAATACAAAATCTGGCTTTCTAAAATTTGGGAGGGGGTAGGTAGGAAGGGAAGGGAAATCCTTTCATTCCTTCTTGAAGAGTCACTCTCTCTCTCTCTGTCTTCCCTTCTCTTTCTATCTCTTTCTATCTCTTCCTCCCTACCTCCTTCCCTCAATCTCTCTCGAATTTCTGCCCCCCCCTTTTTTATCAGAAATCCCATTTTTCATTAGATTTAGAAGTTTAGGAAACATTTGACTCTTAAGTGTTTACCACAGAACGTTGAAATCATGGTGGATAAATTTAGTTCATATATACATGATCACTTTTGGTCCTGCCCCAAAACTCTGAAGGATTTAATTCCCAGGGAGGAGCCACAGTGAATCCGGGTTTTACCCTTTACCACAAAACCATTATTCTCAGTAGTTATTGGATTTTTAACTCTGGTTTCCTATAAAAAATTTAGTTCTGATCAACACCCTGTTATTTTATTAACCTATGTTGCCTTCACAATATCTTTTTTTTTTGTTTCACGCAGGCGTTCTTACACCGAATGAACCAGTGTGCCGCATCAAAAATTGACAAAAATGTAACAGAAGAAACAGTGAAGGTGAGGAGGCACAGTTGGCCCTCAACCCAAGCGCACATTCCCCTTTAGCTAAAATTTCATCTGTGGGATGTTACTCTAAGGCTCTTCAGCTTCTCTGTTCCAGGATACGTTCTGCGCCAGTCACTTGAGTGGGTGACCCTGAGAAAAAGGGAAACGAGGGTTTGGGAAAAGAAACAGGGTGATGAGGATGGTGTAGAAGACATGGAGCAATTTTTTGCCAAGGCCTTAGGGCAGTTTGAAAAGAGGAAGAAAAACAAACCCACGACTGAGAATCTCAGCGTCTGTGGGGGCTGGGGGCAGAGCCCGTGTGAGAGCATTGCCAGAAGTGGCTTAGGAAGGCAAGATGTGGACAAATTTGACTACCAGTCTCTGATCATCAAAGAACAAACGATTTGGATGGTTCCATGGTGCAGAAAACGTCTGCATAATATCTTCAACTCAGAAACGAATGTATAAGCCTTTCCTTTTAGGCTGCAGGAAAGGAAAATGATGAAGAGTTTTGTAAAGGGGGAAGAGGTAAATGAAAATTAATTGCACTACCATCATTATTCATTTAAGCTGTATAAATTATCATTGATATTTATTTTTGGTGCTGATTTGCCGTTTTATTTTACTAAAAAAAAATTCCCAAGGATTTTTATAGGCCCTTCTGACTATTTTTTCATAAACTAAATACTAACTTTCAAATTCTCCTTACCACGGGAGCATTTTAGTTTGTGTGCTTTAGGTTGCAAGCAAAAGACACTTCTTATTCAAATGACTTGAAGATCCTTTGGCTCTCATTTGGGGACTCCAGACAGAAGAGAAGGTTCAGGACCTGTGACTCAGGGAGATCAATAAGTTTGCCAGGTTCTGTCTAGCTCTTCACTTTGCCATCCAGGTTATCCACTTTGCCCCTCGTCTAGCTCCTCTTGACGCTGCAAAATGACCCTGTAGCTGTCCCAGCTGTCACTTCAGACACAGCCCCTTCCCAGAGCGGAAGAGGGCTCTCCATTCCAGGATGCCCTTCCAGAGAGCAAAGAAGCCCTTGCCCCCCAAAGCCTGCCAGCAAATCCGCCCGCACTAGGTTATCTGCCACCCATTCTCACTAATGGGGTGGGGACTGTCATGCTTGGATTTAGTCACTCAGGCTTTTCCTGAGAGCCAGGAATAGGTTCCTGGTTCCCAGCGTTGTGTGGGAGAGGAAAGGATGTCCAGACAAAATTGGAGCTCTGCCCTCCGGGCGGGTGGGAAGGATAGCTATGCCCCAAAGTTTCCAGCTTGGAGAGAGAATGCTGTACTCTCATGGAGTTTTTTTTTTTTTTTTTTTTAACCTGCTTCACTATTGAACTTACTTACATTTGTTTGCAGATGCTGTTCTCAAACATTGAAGATATCCTCGCTGTACATAAGGAATTTTTAAAAGTCGTGGAAGAATGCCTACATCCAGAACCTAATGCTCAACAAGAAGTGGGAACCTGCTTTCTTCAGTTTGTAGGATCAATTTCTGTTTATTTTAAAAGCTTTTCCCCACCCCCACCCCTGATTTTAAGGTTTAGCTTTTGGCACAGTAGAATGTGAGAATTCAACATTAGAAGTAAAATGTAACACCAAAAGTTTGGGGTCTTTTAAGGCCAATGAAACCTTCCACTGAGAGCCAGAAAAGGGGTGAGGGCCTCTCACATCATCCATTTTATTCAGTGAAGAATAAACAGCCTTTTCTTTTTCCCAACAAGTTAGTTCTTCGCATCCTCTGTAGCTTTGAATTCTAATGAATATTCAGGCTGTTCATAATGAATGGATTTTTATGTTTCTCTCAAACATAGAGCATTTCCCTTTTGAGGCAGAAAATCCTTACTCTTATAATAGCGTGATGAGCCTTTTGTGAGTCAGAATGTTCCCTTGTTAATCGACTGGTGACAAGCCTGCAGGTGAATCAGCCGCGTCACTCTAGGTACACAGATGCCTGAGTCTCAGTGTTTCTCAAGGATGGTTTCTCAGAAGGTTGTACTGAGTGGTGCGGAAGAAAAACCAGCCAGTCCTCAGTTGTTTCTCACACGTCACGCTCGTGTGATCATTTCCGTCTCTTTGGAGATGATAATTGAAATTATTTGTGCAATTGATTTATAAAGTAAAAAGTCACCTGTAAAATGAAAATTGTTTTCAGAACTAAAGGGCATTCGTACCAAAAAAAAAAAAAAAAAGAGTGCTGCTATTTATACCATTCCACTGATGCTAATTTTCAGAATACCCACCTGAATTCCTTTCTTTACCAAAATGCTGTATAACTAATCTTTTATTTAAAAATGCGTAAGAGTATTTTGTCATAGAAATCAATTTTTGTTTATTTTCATTTCTGTTTAGCCTTTAGAAAGGTAATGATATGTAGTAGTTTCTAGGTCTGTATTTCTATATGTAGTGAGCAGACGCTGCATATGTTCTTTTTATAATCAGGAAATATTTCATAAAGTTAATTAATATTAAAGGGAGAAAAGCTCCTTGGCATAGGAAGATCAAGCCTTGCTTTCTTTGAGCATGACTGGAAACCACGCATGTTTGTGTCCACTTAATCCAGACTGTTCCTTTTCATGAAAGAATTCAAATCTTCTGCCAGCTGGAACATTTGCTTTCTTAGTCCAGGGCCGCACATGGGAATCTTGCACTCTGACATCCATTTCCTCAGTAACACACTATGAATCTGTCATCCATGAATTTAGCTAAACTATTTCTGAAGTGTGTTTCATTCTGGGTCATACCATCTCTTGAAATAAGTAATTCAGTATATTTTCTACTGGCTATATAAAACAGCACTCAGTGTTGCTTTCCAAATGCATGTCTTGGAAATTTCAGAGGACACACTTCTGTTCCAGTATTTGATCGATACATTTTCTGTGTCTTCCTCTTATTGGTACCACTTTGATAGATACTAATCCAAGCCACTGAGAGAAAATCTGATGATGGAAGGATACTTAGAGATCATGATGGTGAAATTACTCCCTTTTTGAAAGTACCTCTTCTGTGGCAAATGTGAGGGTTGTTTATTTTGTTCCTCACTTGATCACTTTTAGTGACAGCTCTAAGCATTAAAGAATCTTTATGTTAATCCTGAACCTGCCTACCATTGCCCATCATTGATTGCCCTGGTAATTTCTACCCAGGGGTCTTGGTTTTGTGTTTTGGAGCTACATAGAGTTGTAAGCCTGTTACAATATGACAGCTATCTGAAAGTAGCTACCATTTCCTTACTTTATTATACTAACAAATATCTCTGTTTGAAATGACCTCTCATGTGTAGTGTCTCCAAAGTCCATCATTATCTTAGTCACTTTTTGCTTGATATTCTCCTGTTTGTCCATGTCCCTCGTAAACACAACTGTCTAGATTGGTGCATACACATGACAGGGTACTAGGTCTCTCTATTCCTGTATGATCTGGCACATGCTTTTCCCTCTCCCTAAAATGCTTCTTTCCCTCTCCCTGCCTGGGAATGATGGATTGATTCATCTCTCTGGACCTTGCTCAGATATTCCTTTTTCTTTTTTTTTAAAGCTGTATCTGAATCCTCTCAGGAAAGCTAAGTACTTTCTTCTCTGTAATTTGCTACTGTTTGGTTCATTTACTTATTATTGCATACATCATATCAGACTCTAGTTAATATAAGCTATCGTTTTTCCTAGGCAATTCTTCATGGATCAGAGAAAATTGATAAATAAACTGTAGAGCTCCCAAAATATAGTAAATATAGTAAACACTTTGGACACATAAAACTTGTCCACAAACATCACGCGGGTTAATCTTTCCAAATGGCTACTAATATGACTCTAATTTATCCTTATTCGAATTCACAGAAAGACAAGTTTCGTATCTATGATGAATATTGTAGTAACCATGAGAAGGCACAAAAATTGCTTTTTGAACTTAACAAAATAAGAACAATCCGCACATTTCTTTTGGTAAGTATATGTTTAAGTGTTACCATATGCTGTGATTTGTTGATAGGCTCACTAAGGAGCCAATGACTAGCATCAGTGTGGTGTAAAAACTACTCGTGGGGCAATGCTCTAAATGTGTCCAGGCTAGGAGACTAGAGTCCTTTGATAAAACGTAAGAAGGGAGAGTTGGCAGAAGCTTGTGCATGGGAAAACACTGATAATGCCCTCTCCTGGTCGACTGTGAATTGTTTGTGAGAACCACAGATTCCTAATGCGAGAAGACGTTTATGCCAGAGTTCATCATCACTTTTATATCCCTCGGCTCCCTATGGGGCGGTCACAGGAAGGAAACAGATCCTGAGTATTGTAGAAAAGAAATTTAAAGATTGACCTTTCTTCTACATACATTCCTTATTCACTTTTCACAGAAAGAACAAGAATATATATTTAATTTCTCCAGGATAGCACAAATAAATGCGTATTTTGGTAGTAATTTGGACAACTGCCAGTGAGGACCACATCGTAAGTGTACAATTCAATAATATCTAGCAAATTGTGGAGTGGAGCAACCATCCCCATTATTCACTTACAGAGATTTCCAGCACCCCAAAAAGTCCCTCGTGCTTGTTCACCGCCCATCTCCACAACCACCATGAACTTTAGGCAATCATTTGATTTACTTTTGATCTCCATAGTTTGCCTTTTCTGGATAGTTCATATAAATGGAATCCTTCAATGTACTCTTTTTTGCCTGGATTCATTTACTGAGTAAAATGTTGGTTCATCCTCATTGTAGCATTTATCCATATGCCATTCATTTTTATTGCTGAATAGTATTCCATTGTATGGATATACCATATTTTGTTTATCCATTTGCCAGTGTATGAACATTGGGTCAGCAAGCAAGTATGATTAATGATGGACCTTGAAGATCATTTCAGAGAGAGATATTTATTAGAAAAGTCAGGAAATGTCCATTTTGAGCTATTTTATAAACAATGCTGCTATGAACATTCATGTACAAGTTTTTGTGTGAATAATTTTCATTCTCTTGGATAGATGCTAAGAGTGGAACTGCTAGGTCATAGTAAGTTTATGTTTAAGAAACTGCCAAGGTGACTGCCTTATACACCAGCAATGTATGATGATTGCAGTTTCTTTTTACCTTTGCAAACACAGTTCCAAGTATAGCTATGATAGTGGATGTGTAGTTTATCTCAAGGTTATTTTTATTTGCATTTCTCTCATGACCAGTGATATCAGGCATGCTTTCTAGGTTCTTATTAGCCATTCCATATGTCCTGTTGGTGAAATGCTTATTCAAATCTTTTGTCCATTTTTAAATTGAGATGTTTATCTTACATTGAGCTATAGGTGTTCTTTATTTTGGAGACAGCTTCTGTATCTGACATATAATTTGTGAATATTTCCACCCAGTGTGGTTTGTTCATTTAAAAATGTTATCTTTTGAAAATCAAAATTCTTAACATTTTGTTGAAGTCCGATTTATTAAATTTTTTCCATATGAACATGTTTTTGTTATATTTAAGAAGTCTGTATTTGGATCTTATACTTTGTTAAGTTTATTACCAAGTGTTTTACTCTTTTTGATGCTGTTGTGATTGGAATGATCTTAATTTCATTTTTTTGGATTGTTCATTGCTACCATGTAAACATTTGACTTTTACTTATTTTTGTTTATTGTATATTTTTGTATCCTGTGTTTAAATTCATGTATTGGTCTAGTAGGTTTTTTTTGTAGATTCTCTACGATATTTTACATATGGGATCGTATCATCCGAGAGTAAAGACAGTTTTATTACTTCCTTTTCAATATAGATGTCTTTTTTTTTTTTTTAACCTGGGCTTTTGCACTGGTTAGAACCAGTACAATGTAGAATGGAAGTGATAAAGAACAGACATGCCTGCCTTGTTTCTGATCTTAGGGGGAAATCAGTTTTTCATCATTAAGTCTGATGTTAGCTGTAGGTTTATTTGCAGATGTCCTTTTCTGCTTGAAGTAGTCCTACTATATTCATAGTTTGTTAAGAGTTTTTATTGTGACCTTTTTGCCTTTTCCGATATAGGTGTTTAAAGCTATGAATTTTGCCCTACACACTGCGTTAGTTTTATTCCATAAAATTTGACATGTGTTTTCATTTTCATTCAGTTTTTGAGAATGTCTCGTTTCCTTTGTAATATCTTTAGTCTATTCTTTATTTAGAGTTTGTCTTGGAAGGCAGTTCTGCATGGGATTTGTGTTCCTGAGCAGAGGAACTGACTGCCTTTGTTCTGGCTGATCTTTTAAAGGATGTTTATGTCACGAACAGCCTCAGAAGGCAGAGATATTCTCTTCCTCCTAAGGGGCGGGCAGTCACTCCTGCTGCCCTCATGGAAGATACACGTTTCTTCGCTTCAGGTCTCCTCTCCTGGTGTCCATGTGCATGGGCCACCTGGTCTTCCTTGTCTTGTGATGTGGGAACTGAGCTGTGGGAAACTGGCCCCAAAATAGTGATACTCTGGCTACCACTATTGCTATAAGGAAAAAAAAGTCCTGTAGCTCTGGCCTAGGAGTTTCATGTGTTCTTCCAGCACCCATAAATCTCTGGCAGGTTAACTTTTGAGCTTGCAGGTAGGGTAAAATCTTAGAATCATCAGTTTTAACATTCTGTTATTTATTTCCCAATACTGGAATTTTCCAAATTTCTTTCTGTAGTTGATTTTTTAAATTTAATTCCATTCTGGTCAGAGAACATATTTAAATCACTTTAAGGCATTTTTATGGCTTAGCATATGGTCTGTCCTGGAGTTTTTTTTTTTTCCTCTGTATGTCCCATGTGTGCTTAAAAACTATGCATATTCTGCTGCTGTTGGGCGGAGTGTTCTATAAATGTTAGGTCATTTTTGTTCATAGTGCTGTTTCTGTCTTCTTTGTCCTTTCCTCTAGGTGTTCTGTCAGTTACTGAGGGTAGGATATTGAAATCTATAGGTATAATTGTTAAATTGTCTGTCTTGCCTTTCACTTATGTCAGTTTTTGTTTTAAGTGTTTTGGGGCTCTGTTGTTAAATATGTATTCATTGAAAGTGCTTGTATTTATATTTCTATTAATCATAAAATGTTTTTCTTTGTCCCTAGGGATATTTCTTTTCTTAAAGTCTATTTTGCCTCATATTATTATAGCCGTGACACTTCTTGTACTGTTTGTATGTTATATCTTTTTCCATTATTTTACTTATAAACTATTTATGTCTTTCAATCTAAACCATGCCCCTGGAAGACAGTATATAGTCGTATCTTGCCTTTTTAAAACATGTTATTTTATTTAAATTCAATTAGCCAATGTATAGTACATCATTACGGATCTTGCTTTTTTATCCAGCCTGACAATCTCTGCCTTTTGATTGGAGTGTTCCATTCATTGATCTTTAATGTAATTATTGATATTATTGTATTGACACGTACCATTTTATCGTTTTTTCTGTATGTGTTTTTCCTTTTGTTGTTGTTGTTCCTCTGTTCCTCCTTTACCTTCCTTAGTGTACTATTTTACTTCCTCTGTTGATTTTTTTTTTACCTATATTTTTTAGGTTTTTTTGGGGGGGGTGATTGCTCTAAGAACAATATGCATCTTAATTTATCAAGTCTATTTCCTGAAGTTGGTTATTGTTTTTTGTTTGTTTTGTTTTGTTTTTAGTAACTTTCCTGGACTTGATTTGAGGACCTGTGACTCTTGTATGTGCAGCTGTTATCTCTACTCAGGTTTTTGTTTTATAATTTAGCCTTTCTTTTTAGGGGTCACTCCAGTGACTGTTTAACTTAGTTCAGTTGGTGATTTCTCAGAGGTGATCAGACATTTTAATCCTCTTGTCTGTGGATCTATGTGTGAGTTTGGGGGGTGGGGGAGACATTCAGAGGGCAGGCAGTTTTCAAGTCAGATCTGGATTTTTCTTTCCCTGGGGATCCCCCCTCCCCTTGGGTGTTTTCTGCATGTGCACAGTCTGACACCTGCTCCAAGGAAGGCTGCAATCTCAGGCTAACAGAATTGTGGGCATTCTACATTTTTGTTATGGAGTGTGCTAATTTTATCGACAACACCCCCAGGTGTGAGATTTTTATTCTCTGCAGCCCCATCTGGAAGCAGGTTTTCAGGGCCCCTGTCATGGGGCCACTGCAGTAGAGCCACTGTTCAGGGTGAGCTGGGGAAGGTGGGGCAGGTGGAAGCAGGGGGAAGGTGGGAGAAGCTCAGGTGAAAATGCCATAGACTCCCACCATTCTTACCTGAAAATTCAGCAGCTTTTCATGAATAAACACATCTCAATTTTTTGTTTGACTTTAGTTGATTTCCAGAGCCCTGAAATTGATATTTTTGACAATTTTGCTGAGTATCACGGTTGTTTTTTGGGAAGAGGATTTACTGATCCCTTTTCTCTGCCACAGCCAGAAGAGGCTCCTATGCCACCAAAATTTTAGGGCCCTTTATATAAAGTGTTAGAACTTTGTTGTCTTAGTGAATCCATTTAGTTCTCAGCAGAGTTGACTGTTTGCCTTGATCTAGTTTATTGACTGAATTGTGTCAAGCCCTGCCAGTAGTCTCAGAGGAGTGCTGGTTTTTAGATGATCCTACAGCACAGTCTGATAGGAAACCTGGCTTTTATAATTCCTGCCCTGGCACTCGGTGACCACTAATTATCCGAATGACTTTAGGAAATTCATTATATTGCTGGTGTCATTTTCCATCTCCATAAAATGGGGATAATAACAATCACCCTTGGGAAAACAGGTAAGAGTTTATAGATTTGGTGGTGGTATTATTTGGAGTACTTGGATGGGCTGCCACCTCAATAAGTTGTCAGCATCAGGGAAATCTCTGGGAGCTCGGAGAGAAGACATTCTTTATGTACACATCAGGAGAGAGCTGGCTTTCATAAGCCAGTCTAAAGTGGCAACCAACCTCTGCTATTATGAAGACAGTTCATAATCTATACCATACTATTAGACAAGGAATTAACAGTGTGTTGAGCTGTCATGAATTTCTTAGGGTGCTTCAACCCAGAGCTAGATAAAGGGGGTGGCTGCATTTGTAAGGGGTGCTAACTTGTGGAGGGATACTGAAACATCACTGGAAATATAGTGAGATCTACATAGATGTGTTTCATATGGTTCCTCTGGGGACAATACCATGCAGAGTTGGAAAGAATATTTTGATAAACTGATTGCAATAGGGGATGAGGCCCTCAAAGAGCTTGAATCAGAACACTTCTTTGCTGCCCCATCTTCTAAAGTGTCTGGGTGAAGTTAAAGTCATGGTGTTAGTTTTGCTGACTTGAATACACAAACTGCTGCTAAAGCCAAGTTGCTCAGGACAGTGGGGCGGTTCTGCTACCCTCAGTCTTTCCTTTTCATCTTTTCCTGCTCAGCACTTGGTCTTTCTTCTCAATGAATATAGGACAGTAGTCTTAAAATGGTGGTCTAAAGGTTGATAAATCATCAGTATGATATTTGAGGGGCCCTTTTCTCCCTTTACTATGTATTTATTGACTGCTGTCTTTTTGCCAATCACTCTGATAGACATTGCAGAAGCAGGATTTGGCACAAGTTTCAAATCTTTTTTTTATTGATGGTCAAACTATAAAATAAAGACCAGATGCTTCAGAGGCTATAGGCTTCTTTTTTTTTTTTTTAAAAAATCAGAGTTGATTTTCTCTTCTATTTCATCTTACTCTGCTGATTTTGAGATTTCTCCATTCATCTTGCCTCTCTGGAGATCATATCTGACCTCCTTCTCTGAGATTGGCTGGCCAGTTTCATCGGTGAGGTATTATAGCTAAAAGTGACTTAGCAATCACTTGGTTGAAACAGGACAGTTTGACAGTTTTACAGGCAGGAAAACTAACATTCTGAAATCAACGCAAGTTACATCACTAGTCAGTGACAAAGCACGTATAGAACCCAGTTGTCTCTAGGCCTGCTCTTTACCCCACAGCACAACGCCACAATTCAACTACAACACAACTCCCTTTATAAGTAGGATTAATCTGTGTATCTTTGTGTCTATTATTTATTCATCCATCAGTCCATTCATCTGTCTGTCCATCCATCCATCCATCTACCCACTCATCTATCCATTCCTCCATCTCTATCCTAATTCTTTTTCCTCAGACTTCATAGTCAGGAGAATATATAATAATTAATTTTCAAGATATATATTCAAAACACATTTTGGTTTCTATAACTAATACAAAATGGAAAAATATTTCTCCTTGTCTTCTGTAAATGGTATTTGTGATTGCAAGGGCTCATCTCAGAGAAAGAAACTCTATAGAGACAGGCTTTCACAAGTTTTTAGCAGAAGATTTTATGATAGAAGAAAATTTCATGGCTTCAGTTTTAAAAAATTGTAATTAATTATTTTTATCTCCACTGCAGAACTGCATGCTACTTGGAGGACGGAAGAACACAGATGTTCCCCTGGAAGGATATTTGGTAACACCAATACAAAGAATTTGCAAGTACCCTCTCCTTTTGAAGGTATTTTATGTTTATTTCACTGTAGTATTTTCCTTGTACCTGCATATTTTGCTGATGGTCTTTAAAAAATTTTTGTTTTAAATAATATGATTTTCTAAAGAAAGGGCAGATCATAGTTACTAGGGAAAATAGCTATTTTGTCACATATATATGGATTAGGAAACAAATCTTTTGGGAAAAGAGACTTTTAGTGCTCCTTGTAGAAAACATACTTGTTTGAGTTTTATTTAGAATAAATGCATTAGTTTCAAGATAGATCCCATTAAGTACCTTATGACCAGTTTATATCGCATTTTATCTACAGGGTTCTTTATCTTAAATAAATCTACTGTTGGTGTATTTTTTGACTTCCCCTAACATTGGTGTCTTCTTGATGCTAATGAAATTAAAGTGCAAATTACATAATTTCAGAGTTTGATTTTTGAATCAGTATTTGTTACAGGGAATGGTATGGGTCACATGGGACAATAAATGATAGGATGTAGAATGACAGTGCTAAGCAAATGCTGCCTCTGGATGACAGGATATGTCCCATTAATGGTCGTAGGCCCATTGCCTCATTACAATGACCAAAACTGTCATTGTGAAAAACATATTATAATGTGCTAATTTATGCTTGTACCGCAAGAGTATGCGAATAGATTAGAATAGCAATTCTGGAAATGGTGGTTTTGGAACTATAACAGCAGGATAGGCAGTTTGGGATAGTGGTTGAGCACATGAGCTCTGAGTTCAAATCCTAAGTATTCTGCTTACTAGCTGTGTGACTGAACGCATAATCTAACCCCTTAAAACCTTGGCTTTTTATTAATGAGACAGAAATAATGATGATGGAATTGTAGCATATATCTGCAAGAATGTGTATAATGGATATGTATATCTGTTTGTGTATGTGTGTATATACATATATATGCATATGGAAAAAGTATTACATAAAAATAGTAATTGAACTGTTTTATGCAAATCATTTAGCACAGTATGTACTCCATATGTTAGCTATTATTACTCAAATATATTTGATTCTGATTTATTTTAATAGATAAACTACTACTTGCTCTCTAAATTTTTAAAATTCTCCAGTATGCTATGCACGTATTAACTGGTGTTCTTATTGATTTACTTTTTGAGAAACAAATGTAAGGAATTTGAGCTAAAAATACATTTTTTTAACTACAACTTCCGTGAGTTGCATAACTGGGTTTTTGTTAAAATTTCTTTGAAAACAATTTCTCCTTATTAAAAAGCAAGTTAAAATTGCTTGGTTAAGCTGTAGGGAGAAGCTAACATGGGTATCTCCAGTTCTGCAGAGCTTTAGTGTGGTCTTCAGAAGGTCAGGAGGATTGGTGCAAACCTGACTCCTATCTTTCTGAGAGTCCTTTCAGACTCCTGACTTGGTGACTCAGATTGCTTCAGCTATTCCTGGACCTGATTTTGGAATCCCAGGCATTTGTTTTAAGAGTCAGAAGGGATAGTGATATTAAGAGAAACATATCATACTAAGTAGTCGTTCTAAATCACTCCTGGATAAGGGATGACCACTGGATGGGGTTGGCTGAGCTGACCTCTCAAAAGATAGAATCATGGACACATCCTTGCTTAGGCAGAAAAAGATCAACTCAGACCACCTTCAAGGAAGTGGAAAGATGACATCTTTCCCCCTCTTTGGATGATTATCTTTACAAAGAAACATGAAGAAACTATTTACTTGTGTGTAGATAAGTTGGTGTTGATAATTTTTTTGTTGTTGTACCATTGTGCTGATAATCTCTTTGATTTTGGATGGTTTTATTTATTCAGAGAAAAACATTAGGGGATTAGGCTGTGTGTTAAAGAAAAGGTTGTCTTTGTGGACCTTGAAATTACGGGTTTGGCCAACCAGCACAGGGTTCATAGAAAGCAACTAATGAAAAATTATGACTAGTCATTTATCTTGCTATTTCACATTATCTAAATTCATGTCTCAACTCCACAGATACCTATTGGGCACAATTGCATAGGGCCCCAAATCATAGTCTGTAGACTGACTTGACCACTTCACATGATTTACAAATACTTCTACACTTTAGAATTTTTAGAGAAGCCAGCATATCTCTTTTATGTATTCGTGATCCAACATAAGTTTTTAAATCTTGTCTTGGGTGTTAGCTCTGCAGAACAGAGTGTGAACATACTGAATGCAGGGTCAAAGTTTATGGCAGAATTTTCAACAGTAACAGACCTCAAGAGAGTATAACAACTGCATATTTTCCCACTGTATGTTAAGAATTAAGAAAATTCTTTTAAAGACTTGCCTCAGGATTTCTGTAATTGTGTTAGTTACGTGATGATGGCAACTGTAGTAAAGAAACAAATGACTAATTAAAAAGCAATGTGGTCACAACTGTCTAGACAGTGGGTGAAAATGTTTAATTTTGTGCTTCTAAACAACAAACAAAACCTTTTAATATATTTAAAAGATTAAAGATCATTCTTGCTCTGATATCCTGAATGGAAAAAACCATAAAATGCCAAAAAAACCCCAAAATCGAAACAAAATAAAAAGCTCTTGAGGGGCATATGGCAATTCATTCATTGCAGAAAATGAACCCGAGTTATTGGTGAAAATAGCATAAATTGTTCCTTTAGTGATGGAGTATCGTGGAATTTATAAATTTATTTTGCTAGAGTATAAGACATTATTTAAAAATTTTGCTTTACTTCTGACATGTTTTTATAGTTTCTCAAAAGTGTATTAAAACATAAGCCATTTAAATTATTTTTGAAATTATGGGACATATTTATTTAAAGGCCTACTGTTCTGTTAAAGACTCTAGGAAGACATATAAAGTTATATTTCTGTTGGAACAGAGGTCAATCTCATAAAAAAATTACATGCTGCCGGTGAGATATTTGACAACTTGAAAGGAGGAATCTAATTTAGTTTCTGAAAACAAAATAATTTAAAGGCCAAAAATAAAGGAGCTGCAAGATGTGTATCAGAGTAATGCATATCCATTGGTTCAACCTTTCCTTTTTAATCTTAATCTTAGTGGAGTTTGTGGTGTCACTTCTGCAAGTGGCTCTCACGATCTCTGCAGTTTTCATTTCCTGGTCAGTCTGAACCTGCTGTACCAGAAAGCTGAAGATCAAAGGGTGATTTGTTTTTTGTATATAAACAGGAGTTGCTGAAGCGGACTCCAAGGAAACACAGTGACTACGCAGCAGTAATGGAAGCCCTCCAAGCCATGAAAGCTGTCTGTTCCAACATAAATGAGGCCAAGAGGCAGATGGAAAAGTTAGAAGTCTTAGAGGAATGGCAGTCTCACATTGAAGGCTGGGAGGTACATTCACTCTACTCGACAATGGAGTAGTTTAACTTAAATAAACTTAAAATAGTTTTGTTACGTCTTATGCTGTGTGTAGAATTGTGGACATTGGATGGAACCGTAAATGGTCATTTTCCCAGATAATGTCAGAGAGCTGTAACCATTTATGAAAAGTGCTGTCATTATTATTTCTAAATATCTTTAAAGTGGCAGTTAATTGACTTAACATCAACCTGGAAGCTTTGTGATAGAGCCATCTAATACTGTGTGGGTTATAAGCTTTGGAGTTCAGTATTTGTGCGTCTTGATTATCCTTTCCCTGCCTTCATTTGGTCAATAAGTACACAGCCTGAATCCTGGAGAGAGTAAGGACGGGGAATAACGCTCCATATGTGTTCTATGATACTGTTATTTTCAGATTCTAAATTAGGTGTTTGATGAGGAATTTCATTTTAAGCTCACTTAATCTCTAAATTTGAATTTCCTCATTTCTTAAATGAAGGAACCGTCTATGATGTGATTTTTAAGGTCCATTCAAGATTGTAAGTTTTATGGATTTATGATTCATTGAAGAAAGATTTTTTTAAATGATAAAGCAAATGAAGGGTGATATTCAAAATCTGTAATATGTTTTCATCTATGGGTAACTTTGAATCCCCATTAGTTCATGGGGTTGGAGCCCTGTATTATTTTAGTGCTATATAAAGCACAAACTAAAATTTTGTCTCTAAATTGGCTTACTTGAGAAGAGCATGAGCTTTCAACTAGGATAATTTATTTTTATAAAATAAGCAATTAAGATTTTTTTAAAGGTATAAAGAAGATTTAAAATGTTTCTAACCAAATAATGTATCACACAAATTCAAGTGGATTGCTTTTTATCTTTAAGACGTTATAATTGGCTGATTTGTTTCATATCTTCAATATGTTGGTTTCCATTTAGATCTAAAATTATACCCACTCAGATCTTCAAAGAGACCTCAAACGTTAACCTCCGGGAATTCCCCTATTTATCCACCCTTCACCGTGAAACTTTTCAAATGCTAGCTGGGATCTAAGCTTTCTCCTCATCTATATTCTTTCATTTCAAGTGTCCAGGGTGACCTCGTATTTCAGCATGAATGCTACTTATTTCAGTCATTTAAAATGGTTGTGTGTTTTACAACTGATTCATGTTGATAATTCCTTTCCTGGGGAGTGGTTGTCCTGCTGGGTTGAGAAAAATGGACTGAAGTTTGCTTTTGTCGTTCTGTTGTCACTTGAGCGTTGGAAGAAAAACTGAACTTGCTTTAAATTGCAGGATTTCTCATTGATATCTGCCAGGCCTTTTCCCAAAACAAAACCTCACAGATTCTTCTCAGTACTCTAGGGAAATGGAATCTGTCATAATTTTGTTCCTCCTCATGTATATCCTAAAAATTGTGTCTACTGCAGAAATAAGAGATTCTTTAAAAAGTGTTGATATTTCTTGCACTGGGCATGCCAGTTACTCAAAGGAAGAATGTGTGTGGATCATACTATGTCCATATACAGCCCGTAACAGTGCGTGCCTTAATCTCACCAGCCTCACTGTATTTACAACAAACAGAGCGCAAGAGGAAAATGGGGCATCGGGACAGAGGAAACGGGCTGCAGGAAATCAGATATGACTACAGTTCTAGCATGCACAGAGGAGATCACACGAGTGTTGGGTCCCAAAAAGGGCAGCAGTGCAGATTCTACTGAGGTAGGATTTGAATGTGATTGCATAAGACACGGCACAGCCATGCTGCTTTGGGGGGTTTTGGGATGTTGAGGGAATGCAGCTTGGAGGAAGGCTCAGCCAACTGGTTGGCAACTTGTGATAAGAATCTAATTCCCCATCTCAGTCCACCGCCTTGGAGAGAGGTGGGGAAAGTACTCAGGCCTGGTCCCTTCCTGGAAGCTTAGGAGAAACTGCTGATAGGACTCCAAAGGTGCCCAGGACCAAGGGATAGTTCTGTAGGATGAATGCAGGCCCTTGGAGGGAAGGAGGATAAAGAGCTTTCTTTGAATTGCAAACAAGGATTAAGGCTCAGTTTGCAGACAGTTTTGTGTATGTTTAGAGTAGCTCTAGTGGGATTAGGCCAGGGCCTAGGGGAGATGTCAGGTGACATGTCCTCCAAGAACAGAGAGAGTTCCTTAAAGAGCCTTTGAGGTGAGAAGTCTTGAGCTAAGGCTGGGAAACAGCTCCCTGTCTAGTTACTTGCCCGAGCTCCTGCAGACCTTTTACAACCACCTTCAGGATGACACCTTTGCTCCAGTAACTAAAATTTCTTGAATAAGTATCTGAGTCTGATACACCATAAATTTGCATTATTTCCACTTTAGGTGGATTATTTATTTCAAGTAAGTCACTTAATTATCCAGGGTCTTTTTTTCCCATTAATCAAATGAAGGCTTTCTATCGTAAAATCTGACAGGTATCTTGCCTACCTAGTGTTTTGTGCTATAAATCATCATTACATTCCTTTATGTTGAATTTAGGTCAACAAGTGATTGAAATCTGTGGTTCCCAAATCAGATGACATAGTGCAAAAGCCTGACTCGTGAGCAGACTTCGTCTCTAGTCCGGACTCTAACCCTTAGTTTGGGGATGATGCATCAGACCTCTCCCACATACAATGTGGGTTATTGCAGGAGTCAGACGAGATACTTTGAATACTGTAAAATGCTATGCAAATGAGCAGTATTTTAAAGCTCTGGTTCAGTGGTAGGATTTTACCCTTGAGCAGTTCCCATTTGCCTAATATATGCACCTGTCTACTGGAGGTGTTATATCACTTCAGTTAAGTTTAGATAGTTTCAAGCCACAGAAACTAAAAGAAAAATTAATTTAAAAAGATATGGGGTAGTTCACAGAATCAATAGAAAAGCTACACTCTCAAGGGTGTCTAGGCAGCCGAAGCTGGTAGGCAGGCTCATCAGTGCCCTAACTAAAATGGATAGGCTCTAATAATGTTTTCCACCCTTATATTACATCACTCAAGATTCAAGATCAAAATCTGAGATTCCTCTAGTCTTGCCTGGGCAGATTTGCTTAGGACAGAGGACAGTGGTCCTTGATTGCCAATCATCCACTTTCCTTTTGAGGGAAGGCTGATCTTCCATTGTACGCAAACTTGGTGAGCCTTTAACAGTTTGCTGAGGTATTATAATCCCCACTACACAGATTTAAAAAATGAGGGCCATATAACTTACCCCAAGTGCTTACAACTAATGGATGGCAGAGTTTAATCTGAAAATAGACAGACTAGTTCTAAACCCTATAGTCCTGTCACTATGTAATATTATACCTACACAGATAAAAATTTAGCTAATTCTTTAGATTAAGTTGATTGCTTGCCATTTAAAAGTAAGTTGATTAAAGAAATTAGGTTTTCATAAGCATTTACCTAGTGACTGCCATTACAGAAGATCTGGAGTTTAATTGCTCATATTTGAAGTTCTGCCTTTTATTAGTATAATTTATTATATCTCACTTTTATGTCTTATCCAACATATAGAACATTGCACAGGATATTCTACCAAAGGTAATTGTAGGGCAATGATCAGTGTGCTTGGAAAGGGAAGTTCATTAGCTGTTTAATCAGAGTCACTGATTCATTTCATAGAACAGGACCAGTCTCAGTCTTGGTTTGCTTTTTGGCTGATTGATGGTGTTGTAATGGTAACTCTAATCTTTGGAGTCATAATGAACTGTATTGACAAGGGAGTATTAATAAGCATTATGTCACTTGGTAGTTCAGCTTTACATCCATGATAGGCCTGTTTGGAATAGATCTCTCAAATCTGAAAAAAATTATATTAAAAGGTAAGAGGGAGAATTAATAATATATGAAGGTATTGGAAAAAATAAGATCAAAATAGTCACTGTGTTTTAGGAAGTAAAAAGAAACAGAAATTTGACACCTCTAGGATACCTTTTTACATGGGGAAATATAATGGTACAAGACCATTTTAACATCCATTTGCTGCTTTACATATGATTAAGTTTGTGTCTGATAGTGTATTGACTTGAAGTCATGTTCTCTTACTTCATGAGTGTGAGTCTAACAGAGGTTGTGATGAGATCTGTTTCTTTTTTGTTCTCTACAAGGCGATTTTGTAGATACAAATTTGTCTACTGCCTTGAGGCAGAATTGATTTATAGACAGCCCTTGTTGTTTAAGGATATGTTTGGGAAAAAGAGCATTGAAAGTCAATCTACGTAGAAAGGTGAACAGAATTTTGTAAGTGGGAGGGGGGAAGCTTGATTGGGACTTCATTAAAATGAACATTTATGTTATTAGTTGTATCTAATATATGACAGAATCTAGGCTATAATTTCAGTTACTAAATTGAATCTCAAAAAGAGTGAATCAAATGCTGAATCTCTTGCGGGTGGGGGCGTACATTTTATGACATTATATGATAAAATGATGTGGTAGTCTTCATTTCATGTTTAATTTTTCTAGTAGTTTTAAAAGATTTTTTGAAAGAATATTCAAAGGCTTCATTCATTTTCTTGAGACACTCCTTTGATATTGAAACCATTCTCTTATGAAACACCCACCTAGTTGTCATTCTTGTCAATTTTCTTCCACAGTGAGTGGGTCTAGCTCTTGTCAGATCTTCATCTGTCAGTGCTTTGCATACGATTGGGGGAAGTTTCAAGGCCTCCTGTCATCTTTCATCTTTGCCAAGATTATGCCTTCTCTCTGCAGTCTGTGTTTTTCTGGTATTGACATTCAACATTTAGTTGACAAGATGAATGAGGTAGACTCTGGTGTTAAGCAGGGAGAGCCAACAATGGGGTCAGATAATTAGTGAATAGTTTCCTATTATAATGATTTTTGCCACCTCATAGCTGCAAAGAATCGGTAATGAACCCTTATATAACATATTAAGAGAACTTGTTAACATAAAAAGATTTAACCTTTCAAATAGTCCAGATATGATTTAGCAATATTATTTTTATTGCGTCTCTTCAGAGGCGGGGATTTGTTCTATTATTG